CTATATTCCTATAAATGTAACCTAAGACTGAATTGGCTTTTCAGTGATCACATTCCAATACTGACTGATTAATCAGCTTTCTGTTAACTAAAACCACCACATTCTTTAAAACAGATAACAAGCATTTTGATGCTCTTCCTGAAACCGAGTAGATTTTCTGAATCTAAGCTCATTGATATCACTTATTATTAAACAATTAGAACTGCAAAACAGTCCTAGGATTTAATGGCAGATGCAACAGAATCATCACTGCTTTCTAAAATAAACCCTTGGAAATCAACTTCACTTGAGTCCAGCAATCATGACCACCTTCTGCTTCCTGGTCTGGAGCCCTATACCCTTATTTCTGTACTCTCACTGTGTTGTTCAGACATCAGTCTAGTGACAATTTCCCTAGCTTCCTCCAATAGCAGAACATGTCAAGAATTTGCCTGAAGTTCTGAGCTGAGTGGAACTGTCAGCAAATGTCTTGTGACAGGTTTATGACGAGTATCCGAGAAGCATCATCTGTCATTCACATACTGGGGAGGTCAAACAATGTGGTAGCTAGGTGCAAACTGCATGTGAAATCTGGCTTCTTGTTTATTAGCTATGGAACCCTGAGCAAGTCCCTAACCTCTTTGTCCTTCAGGTTTCTCATGTGTAATAATGGTCCTTTCCTAAGAGAATTGTTGTAAGGACTGAATTATCATATGTAAAGTGCTCTGAACCTGGTACATACAAGCCCTCTGTCAAAGTTCACTATATTTTTCATTCCTTCCATCCTGCATGTTCAATCCTATAATAATGTTCTACCCTTATCCTTTTCCTCCCAAGTTTCTAGCCACTTTAACCCTTGCAGATATATATGTACCATGACTCTGCCTTCCATTTTAATAAGCTTTTCACTTTGTAAAGGAATATAACCTGCCATTGCTAAATTCCATTTTAAAGGTCATCTCCCTAATCTTAATGATCCTGACAGGAAACACACACTAGCTCAGGTTATAATGTAAAGTTTATGTTATTGTATTTAGGAAAGAGGCTAGACTATAAGTATTGCTTTTGGCCCCATTCCTGGATTTTCTCTTCAATGCCTTCATCTTTCCCTTTCATCTTAATACCACGTCCTCTATAACAATCAGCCTTCCAGTTTATCTAGTATTTTTCCTCCCTCCTACTTCAGTTTGAAGCCTTGTGGATATGGTGAGCTAGTCTCTGGGCAAATGAGGCTTCCTGGTTCTCTTTATGTATGTTCCACCTCAAGCCAAGAAATCCTCATTTAATTATCTTAATGCATGACTTAGACATCTGAATCCTATTCATAAAACCATCTCCATAAAAAATTGTTTGCCTCTCTCATCTTCCTTTCCGTTCCCAAATCTTGACCAAAAGCAGGAAGAGATGAAGAAATATGAGTGCTCTCTAAGACCTTGGTTTCTGGCCCAAGAACTTGCTGTTCTTAAGCTGTTTCCCTGTCCCTTCCACCTGGGACATTATTCCACTGTGAATCAGCAAAAGCGGGCAATGGCTAAGAGGTTTTATGAGGCCAAGAGACAGCATCTGGAAAGACAGCAGCACCCTGATTATTCAGGTACTCCATGGGGTAAGACCGGCCAGGACTTGACCTCTGTTAGGTCAGTGGTAGGTGGAGATCTTTCACACTGACTGGGGTTCTTCTCCAGAAGGTTCTGACTTAACTCCTCTGTGGTGCAATTCCTTGTGTACCTTTAAAAAGACAATTTGTCTTTTCCTCTTCTTCTTTGTCATATTTCTCCATGCCTTCTCCTCACTTCAAAGGTCTTTGAGAACCTTCTAGTACTTCAGTATGATTTCCCTCTACATATCCAGATTTACCCAAACAAGCTGCATAATTGAGTTTCCCTCATCTTTTTCTTTGATATTATTACACTCACCACCCTCTGTTTCAAGTGCCAGTTCCTTTCTGCAACTCAAGACTCTTTGAGCAAATGGCTTTCTTTTTGTATCAATTCTGCCAACACAACAAGAATTCTCAATTCATGATAGTAGACTTCTATAGAGAAACATTTTCTTAGATTCTTCCCTTTCTGTCATGATGGTTTAGGCTATCTTGTAGACCTATATTTTGGCAGGAACAGGAAGGCATTTCTTATACTATTCTTTGTTTTCAAAATTTAGGGTGGGTTGCAACTCTGAAATTAGGACTCTACTTCTTTGTGGATTTTCTTGCCTCTAGAAGGGTAAAAACCCTAATGGCTACTGCACTTTAGTCTCCCACACCTCTGGAAAAAGCTATTTATGCCTACTGGAGAGCTAGTGATGTAGGTCAGTGGTTAAGTACATGCCTAGCATGCTTAAGGCCTAGGTTCAATCTCCAGTACGGCAAAGGAGAAAAAAAAAAAAAAAAAAAGGAGCCACCAGTCTTCTTAAACCATCTCAGATCTCAATAAAAGCTCCCTTGCTCAGTAATTTAGGACAATTTAAAGGTCTACCACAAAGTAGTTTGTAACAATCTGTGACTTAGAAACTATTCATTCAGCATTTTAAAAGTCATCCTTAATTTTCCAGCCCTGGTTCCAAAATACCTTCCTCTTTCGCCCTGGACTCTGAATTTAGGGTTCACATCAACATTGATTTTATATTTTATTGATGTTACTGTTTTTTTATATTACAAGTTTTCCTTTATTTTTTTTAAACTCTTCCAATCACTGAATTAGAGGATAAAATTCAAATTTGCTAAATAATAATTATACTTGTGATCTAGATTTTCTCTCTAAAGAGCTTAACTAGCATGAAAAATTTCCACAAATTAACTTAAATTCCAACTATTTCTATTGCTATAATGAAAATCATATTATCTATGTCTACATTTTAATGACTGCCTATCCTTGTGTTAAACAAGCTATAGAACAAGCATAGATTCCTATTCTTGTGTAAACCACCTAAGAAAGTTAGCTCCAATAGCTTAGTCCTTGACTCTCCCAAGGCTCTGCCTCCCACTGATCCAAAAATTAAGTCCTACACCCTTTGCAATCCCAGCTAATGGCCTATTATCTTGTAAGACCCATTTTAACATTCTCCAGCCCAGGTCCTAAAACTAAACATATCTACACCTAAACTCTCCTTTCTGAGATACCAATGAGACTATCTAGGTGGTGTTTTCCTTTACTGCAATAGCTCTATTGAACTTAGCTATGCTCTAGCACTGGGTTTTTCCAGTGGTCTTTTGAAGAATCAATAATCAATACTGACCTCTTCTCGCCTATGTTTTTCTTCTTTGGGGATGTTATCTGCTGGTGCTATGTCCCCAACGATGCATTCTGCCATATCGTGAACCAGGGCTAGACGTATACATCTGATCAGGCAAGAAATGGTGAAAATTATACAGAATTATATTCACTATAAGTTTTCTTTTCTATGCTATTTTTAAGTTACATAATACATTTTTCTCTACCCCCACAGATTTTAATGCAGTATTTTCTAAAGTAATTATATTCCATTAGCCTACAAGAGTTCTGAAACAAAACTGCTAGTATAATATTCAACATAATATAGAAGAGTATAGGAGAAACTCTTTGCATGATTTTTTTTTGATGACTGGTTTCTAAATCTCTCTTTAACAGGTTTGTAACTTCAGATTACAAAGCCACGAGATAATCTGGTTAGCATTTACTTACTGATACAAAATTTACAAACAATCATTTTCCCCAATGTTCTAGTTAGATTACAAAATGAAGCCATTTATAGGGTCATGGGTAGAGCTGAACAGATCTGGGTTTGAATTCAGCAAACAACCCACATGATATCTTTGCCAAATTATTTAAATATCCAATTCTGTCACCTTTCATTTATCATCTGTAAAAATAGGATAACAGTACTTCATAAAGTTGGTGTAAAAATTAAATTTGATAAATTATTTTCCTGGAACATTTTGATAATTCAGCAAATGGCTATGATTATTAGTGATTAATGATTTGTGATAATCATCATCAAAATAACAAAGGCAAGCAATAACACAAATGCCAAGATGACTCTGTTTAGCACTCCCACTGTTACACAGGCAGTATCAGACCTAATAGCCTTCTCTTAGGCTTCCCTACCTCATCTTCTTCTGAATCTAGTTCAAAACTTATACTCCTAAATTCATCTGTTTGACTTCACTTCCATCTTGTACTATTTGCCAAAAATCTCCTCTGTTCCTATGTACTGAGTAATAGGACTCCCCAGATTTCCTAAGGAATTCATCACTGAAATCAAATTGATATTCTTCTCCTTTCCAAGATATTTCTTTACCTTCCCTGCCTCCAGACTTTGGTTTCTATCCCCTTCTCTCTGTGTATTGAGCCACTACTACTTCGCTATCTTTATCAATCCTTAGAATCCAATTCCTGCTGCCTCTTCCATTAAGATCAACCAAGAACAGGGGATCTCCCCTACTGTTAGAATGCTTGCCTAATTTTGACAATAGCTTTATTTTCCTCCATACTTTTTTTAGAAGCTGATTTGCGTTTCTGAAATTTATTTGAGATTTATTTACCATTTTATATGTTAATTAACTTCTGCTCTATGCTCCAAAAGCATTTTGAACATCCAACTACAAAGCCACCTCACAAATGGGTTCTACTATTCATAAAAGGGACAAATAGTATACTAATACAGCTGATAATTTTAGACATAACATTCTCACCTTCAAAGCCCTAATATTATGTTTATGTTTCCTCTGAGACCAAGGCCAGTTGCTGGTTCTATAACTTGCCCACAAAAAGCCCAGACTTCACTTTACAACTGAAGCAATCATCTCCAAGAGTTCTCCTTCCCACATCCTAAATCTGGTTGGCCTCAAATAGTTTTGCTTGACATATAAACCAACCTACAAGAATGTGACAGAGGCCTTAGTCTCAGACTCTTACAACCATCTAAGTTCAGATTAGCTTACCGGTCTTTATTAAGATGGTCATCTTTGGTCACCATAGCCATAACTGCCATCCGATACATGTGATCTGATACGCTCTCTGGATTTTTGACATTTCTGTATACCCAGCCAGTCCGTGGGACTCTCTGATAAGTATTAAATAGAAAAAGTTAAAACAAAACAAGTCCTCTTACTATCTGCTATGCTTAAAAGATGTCCAGGGAAGAGCACATAAAGGCCATTATTTTAGAATCTATTATAAGAAAATGCTTTAGGAAACCAACCAAAATGATCAACATCTGGAATCAAACTAGAGAGTTTGGTGGATGGGGCATAGTGAAATGTAATTCGCAAGTATACCAAAGTCCAAAAGTCAAGTTACTCTATTAATGATGCATAATTGTGAAATGTATACAAATCTTTTAGTCATAAAAACAAAATTACGTTTTTTCTAAACTATAAGAGTTATAGCTTTTTCCCTTCAAACAAAAGCATCCTACACAAGTGGAGATCACTGGAATGGAGGCTCTGAATTTGAACATGTGAAGGACTTCCAAATTCTGAAGCCAAAGGGAGAAATCATTTCTAATTGCTTGATCAATCCTACCAGTCAGGACTCTTCCTTTTTAATAAAAGGAAAAAAAAATGATGTGATCTTGTAAGACTGCCTTTCCGCCTCAGAATTCTACATTTCTAAATCATTTTATAAACAGTAGTCAGTGGCATGAAGATGATCTGCTTTGAACTTGGGGAAATTCTTCTGCAAAATCACTAACTGTAATAGGAGGGAGCTAGGGCAGGACGCACATGATGAAATTCCAGTGTGTATTATATAAAAATCCGCTGGGGGAGGGTGTCTTGTTAT